TAATAGTTATTATTATTATTTACGTATATACTTACTACTATTAACATTTTTAATGATCTTTTTTTTAAACCTTACTTTTGAATTGTCCATGCTTCGGTACAGTTTTTGGAAAGTATAAAAAACAAATATATTTAAATTGTATCTCGTTTGCCGGCCTGCCTCGAATATGCAGCGGTAAAAGGGAAGGTAAATAGTTGTTTTAATCAAGTAATTTATTTTAAAAGAGTTATCTCGATTTTTAGTCGCCAATGGTTACTACGTCAGCAGCCCGCGAATAGCATTTTTTCTCAAATACAGATAAATGGCGTCTGGTATTTTAAAAAGGATTTTTAACACCCCCCCCCCCCCCCACCACACATACACATTCAGTTTCCCATTGTCACACAAGGCCACAAAACAAAAAAGTCAGACGCCCCCCCCCACCCCTTCCCCCATACCATAACATAATATTTCACCAGTTGCGTGGGCCAGGTCAGTTATAATCCCCCCTCCCGATTGGCTTCTAACAGTAACACACACACACACACATAATATATATATTATACCTTCATTTAAATGTAGAACCAACCAAATCTCCCCAAATCTTTCTTCAAGTGATAGATCGAAATCTATCTATTAGCACCATTTTATCTCACTTTATCTCTCCTCTATCTCTCACACATCTCACCATATTAATCGCCTACCTACCTTTTAAATCCACCTTATATTTTATTTTACTTTCTTAGCAACCTCTGCATGTTATTTCAACTTTGTTATTTCGACCTTAACCCCTATAGGTTTATTTTTTTACCTGTGTAAACCCAGAGACTTCAATATATAAACAGGTACACAGTCAAAGATGTTTGTTTTTTTCAAGTTTTGTACTAGAACGATAAAGTAAAAATTGATCTCTATCCAACAATTTTTTCCCAACGCCATCTATTTTTTGTTTTAAGTTATCTAAGGACGAATAATGGCAGGATGTTGTGTGTTGTGGGGGGAGGGGGGGGGGGGGGGCTCGGTGAAAACAAGCTGCCAGCAAGGATTGGATTTTTTTTTTCCATCTACAACTGATTTAATTTATTAATAAATGTATTAAACTGTTGTCAAAAAGAAATTAAACCTGCGGTGTTTGTTTTTTTTTTACAAAATCCAAGGCTTTGTTAGGTTCAAGGTCACAAAAATTCGGAATGAATAATTATTTGCTAAAATTAGCATAACAAGAAACAGTCCACATAGCCCCGTATTAGAACAGTTTGCAATATTTATTTATATTGACTGCCTTAAACTATAATTTACACAAATCACATTCAAAATAAAAAAAATAAAAATTTCACATTTTATGGGGGAAAAATGTCACAATTTATTGGCTGTCAAACTTGTCTATCTCTAACACTTTAATTTATAGAAATATTTTTAAATTAAAAACTCGTTGAAAATATGAAGACGACTTTTGAGACGAACGCATAGTTTGCTGACGTTCTGTACACCTGGTCATAGGCCAGGTTAGTCATAGACCAGTTAGTCATAGGCCTGTTAGTCATCGACCATTTTGTCATCGCCAGTTGGCTGTCGCCCAGTATAGTTGGACATGCCCTTAGCTTATTGCCCGGTCCTCATCCCTCACCCCGTTAGTTTTAGTCCAGGTGTCTTCGCACATCTAGCAGTGGCCCAACTGAACATTACATTACTGGCTTATCGTTGAGTTGGTCATTGTCATTCGGTCATTACCCACTCGGATCAATACCCATTTAGTCATTACCCAATCAATCTTTTTCTTTTTCTTTCGTTCTTTATTTTTAGTGTTGGAAAGGATCCCCCTCCAACACAATTAAGGATTACGTGTCAACTGGTTATGCGCTATTGAGGCCATTGACTCCAATTTCAGCCTGCTTTTCTTTTTGGATTTGCTTCCATAGCCTTTGTCCAACCAAGAACAAACTACAAGGCAGCAGTTGTTTGATTTTGAGTTATCTCTCCTAGAAGAGTGGCTGTCCCCAGCTAACGAGCCTCATCTGCCCGAGGGTTCGAACTCGAGACTTTTAGATTTAGCAGCTATGAGCTTTACCGACTCGACCAGGCCGAGCCCAATCAATCAACATGTGGTCATTACTTAATCGATCAGTAGCCATTTTAATCATTACCCAATTCAAAGTGAACATTACCCAATCGATCAATGCCTAATTGATCATATTCATTGTTACAGGGAAAACACGTTTTTCAAAAAGTAAACACTCATGTTTTTGTAAGTTCCTAACTACGTACAGTAGTAGCAGAAGTATAAAATAACATTAGTTGAAAGATTGGCAAGACGATTTCCTCCTTGATAACCCTTCAACTTAAAAATAGGTTTTTAAAATAAACGAGTTGACCTACTTTACAGCGAGATAACAAAGCTGACGGATACAGCCTCGTTTGGATATCACCCTAAACCCCACCCCTTCACCTTTCCTCCTTGTTTGGATATTGGTACCTACCCTTGATATTAGAAAAATATCGATACACAATATCAGCATAATCGGATATAGTTTGTTAAGAAAAGTTTATAAAAGAGCATGCAGAAGCAATGTACGATACTAGGCAAACAGTATGAGTACAGGTGCGAGATGAATTCACAATAAAGGAAAATGTTTTAGTCGAGATACCAAATAAAAAAGAATTCGCGATATCATCTATGAAGATAAATGCACGATACCATGAGAAATGAATATAACCCGGATCTAACGATACCACAACTACAATTCCACGACATCGCAGATACGATACCATAATTTCGTTACCACGGTAACACCACCCCACGCCCCCCACGTTTCCACCAACACACAATACTCTAAACACGATACCACATTGCGATACCTTTATTATACCACAGCCTCGATACCATAAACACGATACCGATATCCCATGACCTTACTATACCAAAATCTCACGATAACATAAACTCGATACCATGAGGCCATAACCTCGCCATACCACAACAACGATACCACAACAACCCCACGATTCCACAAGCACACGATACCGAGATCCCATGCCCTCACTATACCATAATCCCACGATACCATAAACTCGATATCATGAGGCCATAACATCGCCATACCACAACAACGATACCACGACAACCCCCCCCCCCCCCACGATTCCACAAGCACACTATACCAAAAAACTCGATACCATGAGCCCATAACATCGCCATACCACGACAACGATACCACGACAACCCCCCACGATTCCACAAGCACACGATACCATTAACTCGATACCATGAGGCCATAACATCGCCATACCGCAAAAACGATACCACAACAACCCCACGATTCCACAAACACACGATACCGAGCAACAAGTCAGGTACCTGCCGGTCTACGTGAGTACATTATCAGTGGAGGGGAGATAACTCCAGCTAGAAAAGAGCTATTATCGCAAGATCAAGGTTGCGGGTGACGTACCCTAAGCCTCAAGGTTCACAGACATTTCTCTGATTTCTCCTAAGTTTCTGCTTTCATAAGTTCAGCCATCTTTTATGAATCTCTCCGAAATCAAACTTGAAAGAAATTCAGAACCATTGGTTGCGAATCATCCAGAATTGTGTATTACTTCTACTTAGTACCTACAACGTATTATGGACGGCTGCAAGAGTGATATAAATAAAAGTGTAACTATGTGTACAAATTGTTTTAGAACATTCTAGACGTTCTGCTCCTGTGTAATTAGAGACGCGGGATGGGGGGGGGGGGGGGGGAGATTAGTTGAGCCCTTTACTTGCCCTGGAAAGAAAATATCTACTGAAAGCCAATGGTTCCAATGTTATACGAAGTGTTTGTTTTTTTAGTTCACTCTGCTGAATCTACGTCATAACAAGTACGTACAAAACACGAACACCTAACACCTTTCAATTCAGTTAGTTAAAATGGAGCTCGAAACTTTAGATTCTATTAGTAAGTTCATCATTTCTTGCAAACGCAAATAGCAAACACATTTCTCTCAACTGGGTTGTATTCACGCCTGCCCGTGAAAAAAAATTGCTTTTGTTTTATTGTAATGATTTAATAAACAATTTATTTCGTTTAATACTTAAGCACTATTTTATGTCAGGTATTTTTTTTCCTGAAGATTCTGTGAATATGAACAATCTCGAAAAGTATTTTATTTTGATTAATCAGTGGACTATGTTATTTTCGTGCTAACTAAACTAATTCTTTTCTTTGAACTATACTTGTTTTATAATGGAGAGTTTCTTTTTCGGAACTGTATGTTTTCATCTAGTACATACTTATCTATAGTCATATGTTTTTACATTCTCGCATTCGAAGTATAGAGGAAGTATTGTGATCGTGCAAAAAATTAAAATCGAGATTTTCACAAATCTCGACGTTTTACACCTCCCTAAAAAACATAGTTTTGCAATTTTGTCCGTATGTCTGTCTTAATGTGTGTGTGTATGTGTGGATTTGTGTTTGTCTGTGTGTCTGTGAACACGATAACTTGAGTACCTTTACAGCTAATGTGATGAAATATCATATATAAGTATTATATTAAATTTGTAATTTTTTATCAACCTTTCTGCGATTTCCGGTAACCGGAAGAGGAACTTATTCTATGTATTTTATCTTCTAGATTCCCCGATTAAACTATGATTTTATGGTGCAGATTCCCTTATTGAACTATGTTTTGTATCTTACAGATTACCTTATTGAACTATGTTTTGTATCTTACAGATTCCCTTATTGAACTGTATTTTGTATCTTACAGATTACCTTATTGAACTATGTTTTGTGTCTTACAGATTACCTTATTGAACTGTGTTTTGTGTCTTACAGATTACCTTATTGAACTGTGTTTTGTATCTTACAGATTACCTTATTGAACTATGTTTTGTATCTTACAGATTACCTTATTGAACTATGTTTTGTGTCTTACAGATTACCTTTTGAACTATGTGTTTATCTTGTAGATCCCTCTATTAAACTATGTGTTTATCTTACAGATTCCTTTATTAAACTATATTTTGTATCTTACAGATTCCCCCAATTGGGACTATAGGAAAGCAGGGCAGCAAGGAATATGACGTGTCACAGTTGATGAGAGACCTGTGTGACTCTATGGAGAGGGAAAATGACCTTAAAGGTGAGCATTAGGGAGAAGTAGAACTGGTCACCTGTGGGATGGGGTAGACTTGGTAGTGATAGAACCGTGGCTAAAGTGACTTGGTCGGCATCCGGAATCGACGTCATAGGATTTTCCTTCGACTGTAATGTCATACACATACCTTGATCATAATGTCATACATATGCTTCGACCATAATGTCACACATATACATCGAATACGCCACACAAATACATCGACCATATTGTCACACATATATTTTGACCATAATGTCACAAATATACATCAACCATAATGTCACACACATACCTTGATCATAATGGCATACATATTTTTCGACTATAATGTCACACATTTACTTAGTTCATAATACTACACAGAAAATCTTCCACCATAATTTCACACATATACTTTATATTCTGTCGTATGGTGTACATAGCATGACGTATGGTGTAAAAACAAATAGGCCATTGGTGCGATAATGCTTTTTCCATCTCTTGTTGTAGTCTGTACTGTTGTAGTGCCGATTTTGTCCTTGAGAGAGAGATGTGAGAGAATGTGTGTGTTTGTGTATGAGTGAGTGATTGATTGAAAAACAGAGAGGTATGTAAGAAAGAGTGAATGATAGAGGGTTTGTGGTAGTGAATGAGTGAGTGAATTAAAGAGAGAAAGGGGTTGGGAGAGAATGTTTGTGAATGTGAGATAGGAAGGTGTGTAATGAAAAGAGAGCGTTGTGGGAGAGAGAGTCATTGAGTGAATGAAACAGAGAGAGAGAGGGGGCTGGGAAAGAGTGCTTAAGAGTGGATGAAAGAGAGAAAATGCGAGAGAGTGAGAGACAGAGAGAGAGAGGTGTAAAAATAGAGAACCCGAGTTTCAAGCACAGCTTTTGCTATTTAGACTTGACCGCACTCAGGAACCAACTCTAATATACTTTCTCATACAAACAATCAAAACCCAATGACGTCATATCCTGTTGAATCTATTTTTAGACCAGCTGAAGTTCACGGAGGAGGAGGCCAAGATGATGAGGAGGAGAGTGGCAGACATGGATGAGGAGAATGAGAGCCTCCGTCTACAGCTGCAGAAGATGAGCGAGAAGGCCACCAAACACAAGAGGAAAGAGAAGGAGACGCAGAGGGAGTTGGAGGAGGAGAAGCGTCATGCTGACGCCATCAAGGCTGGTGAGTCGAGGAGTCGAGAGTGGTCTGGGTTTGGACAGGGTTGGGTGGTTGGGTTTGGTTTGGTTTGATTTGAGAGTTAGGTGGCTAGGTTAGGTTTGGTTTGAGGGTTGGGTCGTTAGGTTTGATTTTAGGGTTGGGCGGTTAGGTTAGGTTTAGCTTGAAGGTTGGGTGGTTAGGTTTGGTTTGACAGGGTTGGGGGGGTAGGTTAGGTTTTGAGGGTTGGGTGGTTATGTTTGGTTTAACTTGAGGGTTGAGTGGTTAGGTTAGGTTTGGTTTGAGGGTTGGGTGGTTAGGTTTGACAGGGTTTGGGTGGTTAGGTTAGGTTTAACTTGAAGGTTGGTTGGTTTGGTTTGACTTGAGGGTGGGGTGGTTAGGTTTGACAGGGTTTGGGTGGTTAGGTTAGGTTTAACTTGAAGGTTGGTTGGTTTGGTTTGACTTGAGGGTGGGGTGGTTAGGTTCAGGGGCATAGCGAGGGGGGGGGGGGGGGGGCGGGGGGTGCGGACCGCACCGGGTGACACCATTTAGGGGGGTGACACCAAGGCAAAAAATAGCAAAATATATAGAGAAAAACTTGAGGGGGTGGGTGCAAATCGAAAGTTTGAGGCGGGGGGGTGCAAATAAAAAATTTGAAAGTTTGTCCCCGGGAAGGGTCGCTACGCCTCTGGGGGCGACACCATTAAGTGCCGCACCGGGTGACACCCGACCTCGCTACGCCACTGGTTAGGTTTAACTTGAGGGTTGGGTGGTTAGGTTTGGTTTAACTTGAGGGTTCGATGGTTATGTTTGACTTTAGGGTTGGGTGATTAGGTTAGGTTTATCTTTAGGGTTGGGTGGTTAGGTTTAGTTTGACTTGAGAGTTGGGTGGTTAGGTTAGGTTTGACTTGAAGGTTGGATGGTTAGGTTAGGTTTAATTAGAGGGTTGGGTGGTTAGGTTAGGTTTAACTTGAGGGTTGGATGGTTAGGTTAGGTTTAACTTGAGGGTTGGATGGTTAGGTTAGGTTTAACTTGATGGTTGGGTGGTTAGGTTAGGTTTAGCTTGAGGGTTGGGTGGTTAGGTTAGGTTTGGTTTGAGAGTTGGGTGGTTAGGTTTGGTTTGTCTTGAGGGTTAATGTTAGGGTTAGGGTTAGAGTTAGGTTTATGTTTAAGTAAGTTCCTTTTCTCAACATGAAGGGCCAAGTAAGGTACAGTCCACCTTTTTCTGTGACCTCAGCATATGAAGAAATAGTTTGGTCAGCACTACGCCCAGTCATCTTTACTTTCCCCAACTCGAGTTAGGTACCCATCAGAGCTGGGTGAACTCATTGACGCTTTACCGACTTGAACCCAAATTCCAACTCAATACTTGGGTTAGCAATCTACCGCTAGGCCACGCCGTTCCATAGATCCGTGTTTAGATTGGATTAAATGATAGGTTTGGATCGACTTAATTTAAATTTGTATTCAGACAAGACTAGCTTAGATCAGGGGGTCGGCAACCTGCGGCTCGCGAGCCGCATGCGGCTCTATTGATGTCCAATTGCGGCTCTTCAGCTCCATGCACAAATATTAATAATTGTCTTATTTTTTTTCAAAACTCATAAACATATGAGTCTGCACAACGATATAACAATAGACATGAACAATTAACATTCACTATTTTATCAAATATTTAGTTACTCCCTATCTCAATGTACTTCCTATTACATTGTCCATTCCGCATTGAAACATTCAATTTCATAGTGGATATTGCAAAGAAACTAAACCTGCTAAGTGTAAAACTGAAAGGAAAACCCAGTCTATGTCTTGCTTGAAGAAATGTTTATTTTTTTCGAAAAAGAAATACTTTTTTTTGTTGAAGCTGTAAATGACTTTATTACGAACAATCTGAAAAAAATATCGTTATGAAACCAGTGCTACTATTCAAAAACTTCAGCATTACTATAAACTATAAACACAATGAATGGTGTTTTCACTGAGAGATTTGAGTAATTCAAAACAAATTCAAGCACTCAGTAGATCCTCTCAACACAAATTCAAATGAGATTATCTCATATATTCAAAGCTATTTATTTAAAATTGTATATACATATATATAATATATTTATACAGTATGATATTTGTTTAGGATTTTATATATATATATATATATATATATATATATATATATATATATATAAGTAAAGTTTCCCTTTCAAACCTGACGGTCTATGGGGCAAATGAAGTAGAGTTCACTTGTTTCTGTGACCTCGGCATATGAAGAGATAGTGTTGTCAGCACTATGCTCAGCCGCCTTTACTTACCCTAACATGAGTTAGGTACCCATCAGAGTTGGGTGGACTCAGGGACGGTCTACTGACTTGAACCCGGATTCGAACTCGAGACTTACGGGTTAGCAGTCCAGCTCTCTACCGCTAGACCACTCCGTCCCATATATATATATATATATAATCCTAAATAAATATCTTACTAATGACACAAAAATGTTAGTGGCTCTTTAAAAGCTGGGTAATGTAAATTGTACCTTTTGGCTCTTCCGTCTCAAAAGGTTGCCGACCCCTGGCTTAGATCAATGGTTCCAAAATCGTTGTCACTACCTCCTCGTTATTGGGATCCAAGAAAATGTAGGCGCCTCACAAACATCCCCGTCATGTGTGTATATGTGTAAGTGTGTGTATGTGTAAGTGTGTGTGTGTGTGTTTATGTGTAAGTGTGTGTGTGTCATTGCTTCAGTGCGTGCGTGTGTATCTGTGTGTATGTGTGTTTACTGTCATAGATTTGTAAGTTAATTTTCTGAAATGTATCCGTATTTGAGCCATCACCGAAAATTTTATTTATAGATTGTACTTTCAGACAGATTTAATGGGGTTTTTTTTTCCCCAAGCTTGCCTACACATTTTCTCTCAAATTCACACACACCTACACACACTTACACACATACTTACACTTACACACACACACACGCACGTGCACACACACACACACACACGCATTAAGTATTTAATTTTTTTTAATAAAAAAAAAACTTTTCTATTGCTCTGGAGTAGCAAACCCCCAAACTATTATTTTAAAAGTATACGAGCAAATTAAGGGTGATCACTCACGCTTTATTTGTTTTTTAAATTGTGCTTTTTCGTGTATAAAACTAAAGGGGGCAAGGGACATAACCTAAAATTTTTACCAAACGGTATTAAATTACAGTAAAATGTATGTGTAACAGAATGAAAGTATAAATCCTTTTGTTGTTTTACAAAACCAAAGATTTTAAACAAGCACATTTGAACATTTCTGTAATTATTATGATGTTTTAATTTTAGAATTAATATTTTACTCTTGTTAAAACCAATAGCTATAACTATACTAATAACTTGATTTCATGGAGGACGGTTAACTTTTTGGCTACTCTTCAATTGGTTAATAGCCCGTTGTTCTGCTAGTGTTTTTGGAAAAGAGGCAAAAAAAATATCAGATTCTATAACTGCGGTTTGTTATTGTTCAAAATTTGTATTTTAATCTTGAATTTGATTACCAATAGGCCTAGTCATTAGTTTCCTTTACAAAGAAATTAAGCCCAAAAGATATAACCTACAAAAAGCACCCATAAAAAAATGCACCCATCACAAAGTGCACCTTTCTCAAAATGCATACCATCCTGAAAAAAACATCATAAAAGCACACATCACAAAAAGCACCCACCATATCTTTTTAAACAACGTTTCAACCCATCTCATACACGAAAACCCACCATATACAATTAAACCAGTACACGCACCTACACTACGCACCTACACTACGCACCCACACTACGCACCCACACTACGCACCTACACTAAGCACCTACACTACGCACCCACACCACGCACCTACACTAAGCACCTACACTACGCACCCACACTACGCACCTACACTACGCACCCACACTACGCACCCACACTACGCACCTACACTAAGCACCTACACTACGCACCCACACCACGCACCTACACCACGCACCTACACTACGCACCCACACCACGCACCCACACTACGCACCTACACTACGCACCCACACTACGCACCCACACCACGCACCTACACTACGCACCCACACCACGCACCCACACTACGCACCTACACTACGCACCCACACTACGCACCCACACCACGCACCTACACTACGCACCCACACCACGCACCCACACTACGCACCTACACTAAGCACCTACACTACGCACCCACACCACGCACCCACACTACGCACCTACACTACGCACCCACACTACGCACCCACACTACGCACCCACACTACGCACCCACACTACGCACCTACACTACGCACCCACACTACGCCTAAACACTACGCACCCACACTACGCCCCTACACTACGCACCCACACCACGACCCATACCACGCACCTACACTACGCACCTACACTACGCCCCTACACTACGCCTATACACTACGCACCCACACTACGCCCCTACACTACGCACCCACACCACGACCCATACCACGCACCTACACTACGCACCCACACTACGCCCCTACACTACGCACCCACACCACGACCCATACCACGCACCTACACCACCCACCTACACCACGCACCTACACTACGCACCTACACTACGCACCTACACTACGCACCCACACTACGCCTATACACTACGCACCCACACTACGCCCCTACACTACGCACCCACACTACGCACCTACACTACGCACCCACACTACGCACCCACACTACGCTGAATTACAAAATGACTGAAGTTTCTGTATTAAAAGAGGGTCACTAGTTAAAAAAAAATTGCAATTTAAAGCAAGTCCCTCAACATCCACGTATTTTACATAATTTCATTAATCTAACGAATCGAAGTATTTTAACAAATGTACGTATTAAAAAGTTATTTAAGATGGATTTACAAATGTATACATCTAAAAAAAATAAAAAGATATGCTGTTTAGACCATTTTTAACAACATTTCTATACATAGTTTATACAGGGAGGAAATGAGTAGTATGTGCTAGTGAAAAATTTCAAAGTCGGTCGAGAGGAGGGTTCATGGAGACAAAAACATTGAAATGGTGATGGGGGTATGTGAGGATACTGGTTCAGTGATGTGTAATCGATCTTTTTTTTATCGATCTAATTGTGTTGCTGTGCCTATGAATGCTACTACACATGCAATTTGTTTAATTAAAAATTAAAAGTTTTGAAATTTAAAAAATAAAATTTAAAAATTCTGCTCATTAAATCTGGAAGAAGTGTAGTACTATTTTCAATCTGCATCAGTCCTCACAAGCCTATGTTGAACACTGAAATACTAAAGCGGACCTGGCTATGCAAACTGACGCTGTAAATTATAAGTCTGAGACAAAAGAAAAAAGAAGAAAAGAAAATAAAATACAATTATAATATCATTTTCCTTTCAATCTTAATTTAATTAATAGGCCGCCATAAATTTTACTGTACACGTTGTAAGCTGAAAATAGAAAAACTAGGTCATGGGGTTTACATTTGCATTGTTATTTAAAAACTTGATCTGCAGAGTTTTGTAAACTAAATAACAATGAAGTGGGGCTGTCAGAAATCGATCACGGAGTTCCTTTACAGCCAATCAATGTTTGTCTTACGAAAGTGAAACATCGGGTTATTACTTAGGCTTAATGAAAATAAATAGAAATGTAGCCTTAAACTCAACAAATTATTTTCAAGTTCTCTGGATCTGCAACTTGTATAGCATTGATTCTAAAAATATTAAATTTCTGAATTAATTTTAGGCTTAAGTTTTTAATAAAATTTTATCATTTATTATTTTTATGGTCCTAAATATAAAAAAGCACAATTTTTATTCTATGTCGACAACATTAAGGGAGGATTTTCGTCAACTCACTGGTGTCCATTAGCGACATGATGCACTATTTGGCAAATCAATGGGGGGGGGGGGAAATTCGAATGCGATTTGTGTTTTTGTTTATTGACATACATTACTCAATCAAATGATTGAAAAACCGAAAAAAATAAAACAAACGGACAATTCAATGGGATGAGTATTTCATGGTGAAATTTAAAAAAAAAAAACAGCTATCATGTTAACTCTTCACATGTTTAGAATGCACTTTGTACATTTGTGTTTCAGCTTTGAACAACTAATTTGGTTTGTTTTATGTGTTTTCAGTTTTGGTAAATGCCATACAGGTTTGTCTGTTTGTTTTCAACGTTGATCAACTCAACTGATATGTCTTTGTATTTTCAGCTTTGATCAACTCCAAATTGGTTAATCTTTGTTTTCAGCTTTGATCAACTCAACTGATTTGTTTTTATGTTTTCAGCTTTGATCAACTCAACTGATTTGTTTTTATAATTTCAGCTTTGAACCACTCAACTGATTTGTTTTTATGTTTTCAGCTTTGATCAACTCAACTGATTTGTCTTTGTATTTTCAGCTTTGATCAACTCCAAATTGGTTATTCTTTATGTTTTCAGCTCTAATCAACTCAACAGGTTTGTTTTTATTGTGTTTTCAGCTTTGATCAACTTAACTGATTTGTTTTATGTTTTCAGCTTTGATCAACTCTGAAGGTCAAATCGATTTCTCCGGCGACGTAGTGCTGGTGGTTGGGGCCGAGGGTAGTGACGTCATCAAGGGGGATGAACCCATCCCTGTCTCTCAGAGGAAAGATTCGACGGATGACGATTTGATGAACGTGATGCAGGTGAGGGGAGGGGTGGGCAGTGTTTCTTCCAGACTTTTTTCTCCGGGGAGGGGGGGGGCACTTGAAATTTTCGGGGGGGGGGGGGCGGTAAACTTTATTCTGGGGGGGGGGGCGGACACGGTTATATGTATATATTTCCTATATAAATTATATAAATTTCATTTCGTTAGGGGGGGGGGGCGGTAAAAAAAATTGGAAGAGATGCCTGGAAGAAACTCTGGGGGTGGCGGAGGGGGGTCAGAGGTGTGCGAAGGATGGAGTGTATTTTAAGGAGTATCATGGATGGTATGAGAAAGTTTGCGCCCAATAAATAAGCAGAAATACATTGAATGTTGTGGACGGAGTGGCCTAGCGGTAGAGAGCTAGCCTGCTTAACTGAAATTCTGGAGTTTGAATCCGGGTTTAATACAGAATAACGTTCCCTGAGTCCACCCAGCTCTGATGGATACCTAACCCACTATCCCTTCACATGCCAAGATCGCATAAACAGATGAACTCTACTTTACTTTCCCCATAGACCATCTTAGTTTGCTTACATTGAATGTTGGACAGAGTGCTATACACAGACTGAGGCAGACACTTCATTGTGTATGGAGTGTAGCAAACCAAACGTTAAAGATGGAATAAGACAGCTGAACAATGCGAACTGTTTGAGTTTGTAGGGGTAGGGTAGTGTACAAATGCAAAGTTACGAGTATATCAAATAACATTTGTGTATCTTCTCTCCCCACCCTCCTCCCCCCCCCCCCCCACCCTACTAGATGAGGGTACAGCTGGAGATGCTAGAACAAGAGCTGATGACGTCACATAAGAAACTGGACGACATGGACCTGGAGAACGAGAACCTACAAGCTGAGGTAAGACTCAGGCCGGTAGTATATGGGGAGGGGGAGCGGGGGGGGGGGGGTACTGAATCAGGCCGGTAGTATATGGGGGGGAGGGAGCTGGTGGTAAGACTCGGAACTGAAGGAAAAAAGACGGGGGAGGTTACAGGCTGTAGTATATGGTGAGGGGGAGGGGGATTACTAGTAAGACTCAGGCCTTAGTAAGAATGTGGAGAAATACTCTGGTCCGTAAAGTAAAAGGGTGGCCTGGTGGTAGTTTGTTTTATATTTTTTTAACAAATTTCAGTTGTTTTGTTAAAGACTAGTTTGTCTTTGAGATTTTTAAACGTTTCCAAGCATATATATATATATTAACATATATATATATATATATATATATATATATATATATATATATATATATATATATATATATATGTATTTAAGTGTGCGCCTAAAAGTGTGTATATGTTTATATGTATGTGTGCATGTGTGTCTATAGTCAGACTTTGAGAACAGACTTATCTTGCTCCAGGTGAAGTTCCTCCAAGAGCGACTGGCCGAGCAGGAGGCCAGTGCCAGTGTCCAGCTGCCAGAACCCTCCACACCTAACGCCTACTACGAGGACAAGCTGAGGGAACTATCCCAGGAGGCGGACGAGCTCAGGTGGAAGCTGATCGAGAAAGATCGAGAAATTGAGAGGCTCAGCGTCGTACAGGTACGGGCAAGAGAGCTAGTCTAGTTCTGCGTTTTAAAGTTTGTCGAGAAGTTGAGAGGCTCAGCGTCGTACAGGTACGGGCCAGAGAGCTAGTCTAGTTCTGCGTTTTAAAGTTTGTCGAGAAGTTGAGAGGCTCAGCGTCGTACAGGTACGGGCCAGAGAGCTAGTCTAGTTCTGCGTTTTAAAGTTTGTCGAGAAATTGAGAGGCTCAGCGTCGTACAGGTACGGGCAAAAGAGCTAGTCTAGTTCTGCGTTATAAAGTTTGTCGAGAAATTGAGAGGCTCAGCGTCGTACAGGTACGGGCAAAAGAGCTAGTCTAGTTCTGCGTTATAAAGTTTGTCGAGAAATTGAGAGGCTCAGCGTCGTACAGGTACGGGCAAGAGAGCTAGTCTAGTTCTGCGTTTTATTAAAGTAGATCCATCTATCTTATAATCCGTCCCTTAACAATAGGAAAGTTTTTGCGGCACAACAGCGGAAGACCACACGGGACGAATCACAGATGTCCACTTTTTAATTTTTTTTAGTTAGTGCTATAATCAAGTAGTACTACAGTAGTAGTACAGTGGCGTAGCGAGGTCGGGTGTCACCCGGTGCGGAACTTAATGGTTTCACCCCACCCCCCCAGAGGCGTAGCGACACTTCACGGGGACAAACTTTCAATTTTCGATTTGCACCCCCCACCCCCCTCAAACTTTCCATTTGCACCTCTTAAAAGACTATTTAACACTCAAATTAATCACTTAATTAATTGGAATTATCATTTTTCTCTTTATATTTTACTATTTTTTGCCTTAGTGACACCCCCCCTAAATAATGTCACCCGGTGCGGTACGCACCCCCCGCCCAACCCCCCCCACCCCCCCACCCCCGCTAAGCCTCTGAGTATATATACATCACATATAACGAATATGAAAGCGTAAAGCCACCTTGATCCCCTCAATATTTCAGATTTTAAACACAAGTTACATTAGAACACCAGAGGATTTCAAACACAAAATCTCATTTTTTCTCAAAAGTAGAAAACAGACAACTGTGGTTTTTCTCCTGTGGTCTTCAACTAATTTTTACATAATTCTTTTTCATCTTTCTACGTCTTTGACTGCTTTTAGTAATTCTACACCCGACTGTCCAGTCTGTTTCTTAATGTCTTTCTTGTCTTCATCCGATTTTGTGACGATGTGTGATGAGGTGGAGAGGAAACAGGGGGGGGGGGGGGTGTATACAGATAGTGTGACGTCGCACTTTTGCATTTAAAAATATTGTTTAAAACCGAATTTTAGCCGTTATGTTATTTCACGTTATAGAAAACTGTTTTAATAAACTGTTGAAATAAAAATACTATATATTGACCAAGGTCAGTCAATACTTTAGAAAAAATATCGATGATATTATTGATTTAAGAACTGCAATTTTGAGGGTGGTTGTTGCGTGAAACTGTGACTTCATTTTAATGGGGTCTAGTTTTTCGTGACGATTTGTGACTGAGGGGAGGGAGTGGGGGAGGTAAAAAATTCGTCAAAAAACGTGTGACGTCATTTAACTAATTTAAAACATGATTAATGGTTTATTTACTTTATTCAGACACTATAAATATAAGATACGAAAAACAATGACACATTAAACTCCAATACTGAACCATGTGCCGATGGTTGTGTTGTATAACACATGGTTTATCGTGGATATTTGTGTTGTTTTTTTTTTGTCTATGTTTCCTCTTTGTAGATTAGGTTGTTCTTAATAGGAAGATTAAAACACCAAGTTTAATTATCTTAATTAAGACTGCCTGATTTTAGCGTGCTAGGTTCAGACTTATATTTTGAATTAAAAAAAGGTATTGGCTGTTATAAAAAGCCGTTACGACTAAGTGGTATCGTATCGAGTTTTTATTTGTTTACTGGTATCGAAGTTAGGGGCAGGTTTACATGGCTGCGATAAATGATTTTAAATTTCATAAATGTTTAGAATCGGGATCATGACGAGGGATACGGTACTGCTAGGGTTGAAGCAATGTTTAAGTTTGGGTATTAAAGTTACCTTTTCGAACCAGACGGTTCATGTGGTAGGTGAAGTAGAGTACACCTGTTTCAGTGCCGTGGACATACGTAATCCACATTAGATACAACCGCATTTAATTTCCCCAAAGTGAGGAAGGTACCCATCAGAGTTTGATGGACTTAGAAACGGACACAAACTAGGGATTCAAACTCGAGACTTTCGTGTTAACAGTCGTACGCTCTATGATCCGACCACGCCGTCCCACTATGTTAAAGTTAGCGATACTTTTAAAAAAAGAGCCTCGAATACGCCCGGCCGATGTTTCAATAAACGTTTTGCTGTTGCTGAGTAGTCTCCGCTCACGTTTATACATTTTTAACAAACCAGCACTAAAAATTGGCAGAAACAGGACCGGTTTTTTTAACACATCTAACAAGTGGTTTACATGATATGTTGATACGTTGCCTAGCAACGCCGTGGGAGGCTGTGCCAGACTGAGGCCATAAAAAACGTAGATTTTTGTTTTGAAACCTACAATGTTCTCTTGTAGTACAGGTGGGTTAGGTGCCGGCGTACAGGTGGGTTAGGTGCCGGCATACAGGTGGGTTAGGTGTATGCATACAGGTGGGTTAGGTGTATACATACAGGTGGGTTAGGTGCCGGCATACAGGTGGGTTAGGTGCCGGCATACAGGTGGGTTAGGTGCCGGCATACAGGTGGGTTAGGTGTATGCATACAGGTGGGTTAGGTGTATACATACAGGTGGGTTAGGTGCCGGCATACAGGTAGGTTAGGTGCCGGCATACAGGTGGGTTAGGTGTATACATACAGGTGGGTTAGGTGTATACATACAGGTGGGTTAGGTGCCGGCATACAGGTAGGTTAGGTGCCGGCATACAGGTGGGTTAGGTGCCGGCATACAGGTAGGTTAGGTGCCGGCATACAGGTGGGTTAGGTGCCGGCATACAGGTAGGTTAGGTGCCGGCATACAGGTGGGTTAGGTGCCGGCATACAGGTAGGTTAGGTGCCGGCATACAGGTGGGTTAGGTGCCGGCATACAGGTAGGTTAGGTGCCGGCATACAGGTGGGTTAGGTGCCGGCATACAGGTAGGTTAGGTGCCGGCATACAGGTGGGTTAGGTGCCGGCATACAGGTAGGTTAGGTGCCGGCATACAGGTGGGTTAGGTGCCGGCATACAGGTAGGTTAGGTGCCGGCATACAGGTGGGTTAGGTGCCGGCATACAGGTAGGTTAGGTGCCGGCATACAGGTGGGTTAGGTGCCGGCATACAGGTAGGTTAGGTGCCGGCATACAGGTGGGTTAGGTGCCGGCATACAGGTAGGTTAGGTGCCGGCATACAGGTGGGTTAGGTGCCGGCATACAGGTGGGTTAGGTGCCGGCATACAGGTGGGTTAGGTGCCGGCATACAGGTGGGTTAGGTGTATACATACAGGTGGGTTAGTGCCGGCATACAGGTAGGTTAGGTGCCGGCATACAGGTGGGTTAGGTGCCGGCATACAGGTGGGTTAGGTGTATGCATACAGGTGGGTTAGGTGTATACATACAGGTGGGTTAGGTGTATACATACAGGTGGGTTAGGTGCCGGCATACAGGTAGGTTAGGTGCCGGCATACAGGTGGGTTAGGTGCCGGCATACAGGTAGGTTAGGTGCCGGCATACAGGTGGGTTAGGTGCCGGCATACAGGTAGGTTAGGTGCCGGCATACAGGTGGGTTAGGTGCCGGCATACAGGTAGGTTAGGTGCCGGCATACAGGTGGGTTAGGTGCCGGCATACAGGTAGGTTAGGTGCCGGCATACAGGTGGGTTAGGTGCCGGCATACAGGTAGGTTAGGTGCCGGCATACAGGTGGGTTAGGTGCCGGCATACAGGTAGGTTAGGTGCCGGCATACAGGTGGGTTAGGTGCCGGCATACAGGTAGGTTAGGTGCCGGCATACAGGTGGGTTAGGTGCCGGCATACAGGTAGGTTAGGTGCCGGCATACAGGTGGGTTAGGTGCCGGCATACAGGTAGGTTAGGTGCCGGCATACAGGTGGGTTAGGTGCCGGCATACAGGTAGGTTAGGTGCCGGCATACAGGTGGGTTAGGTGCCGGCATACAGGTGGGTTAGGTGCCGGCATACAGGTGGGTTAGGTGCCGGCATACAGGTGGGTTAGGTGTATACATACAGGTGGGTTAGTGCCGGCATACAGGTAGGTTAGGTGCCGGCATACAGGTGGGTTAGGTACCGGCATACAGGTAGGTTAGGTGCCGGCATACAGGTAGGTTAGGTGCCGGCATACAGGTAGGTTAGGTGTATGCATACAGGTGGGTTAGGTGTATACATACAGGTGGGTTAGTGCCGGCATACAGGTAGGTTAGGTGCCGGCATACAGGTGGGTTAGGTGCCGGCATACAGGTAGGTTAGGTGCCGGCATACAGGTGGGTTAGGTGCCGGCATACAGGTGGGTTAGGTGCCGGCATACAGGTGGGTTAGGTGCCGGCATACAGGTGGGTTAGATGCCGGCATACAGGTGGGTTAGGTGCCGGCATACAGGTGGGTTAGTGCCGGCATACAGGTGGGTTAGTGCCGGCATACAGGTGAGTTAGGTGCCGGCATACAGGTGGGTTAGATGCCGGCATACAGGTGGGTTAGATGCCGGCATACAGGTGGGTTAGGTGCCGGCATACAGGTGGGTTAGGTGCCGGTATACAGGTGGGTTAGGTGCCGGTATACAGGTGGGTTAGGTGTATGCATACAGGTGGGTTAGGTCCCGGCATACAGGTGATTTAGGAGCCGGCATACAGGTGGGTCAGGTGGGTTAGGTGCCGGCATACAGGTGGGTTAGGTGCCGGCATACAGGTGGGTTAGGTGTATGCATACAGGTGGGTTAGGTGCCGGCATACAGATGGGTTAGGTGCCGGCATACAGGTGGGTTAGGTGCCGGCATACAGGTGGGTTAGGTGTATACATACAGGTGGGTTAGGTGCCGGCATACAGGTGGGTTAGGTGCCGGCATACAGGTGGGTTAACCTACCATTGCTCTCGTTACGTCTGCCTAAAGTTATGCCAATATACCCTAAACATCGTTAAAATTAAAACATTATATAATACATAATTTAAAACGTACTTTGGTGTAATATAACGTGCATGCTTCCTAATTTGTGTGCTATACAGCTTGTGTACGGGGTGGGGAAGGGGAGTCAATGACTGCTAGGCAGTGATGGCGCCAGGCTATTCAGCGCCCTAGGCAAAACTTAATAAAACGCCCCCTTTCACACAAATTAACTACTAAAACAAATGCTATAAGAAAACAGTTCATTTAAAGTGACATATTAATTTATTATCAATTACATACACGTTATAAGTAGACATCAAAATCATATGTCTATATTGTGTGATTATGTAAAAAAAAATTTGGTTTATGAAGAATAAAAGGTTATAAATAATATAGATTCCAGCCTAAAATTGTTATATATGAATCCTTTAGGAGAGGGTGAAAAATATGAAAAGACAATTAATTAGCGGTTTAATTTACGACTATCTCTACTAACATTAAGTATTGCAATCTATAACGGATACAGATGTATTTGTTTTTCAACTTTACAATGCCAAAAAAACCTACCAAACTATTTTGTTTAGAACTTAAGTTCTATATAATTTTTACAATGGCAATTAATAACTTAAAGTTGTATTTATTTGTAAGCGTTCAACCTAAGGTGCAAGAATTTCGAAATGAATTTAAAGTTAATTAACGACTTATCTCCCTTTTGAAAATCCAAATATTGAAATTTTATTCAAGGGAAATAACTTTCACAAGAATAGCTAAATTAACTAATTGTAACTAAGACATGCTTAAAATTCCCAATAAAACGCTCTAAATTTCATTACGTAATAATTATATTAAAATCTTTATATTAGCTATATAACGTTGTAAAAACAATATATTTTACCAATTGAATAATTAACTGTGGGTTTTGTTTGAAAGTCCCAAAGCAATAGCGTTATTACAACATACTTTCATTCAATTTTGATGACACTCTTGTTAATGCATCCCCGGGATACTATTGTTAACAAAATTTTGGATCCCTTAAATAAAGGGACGACTTTCAAAAAATCAAAGACGGGTGATATCTGTTTTAGATGTTGCTAGATCTATAATTATTGGTTAAATAAAAAAAAAATAATTTGAAAAAAAAAAAAGTTTACGGTTAGTTATAAATTCCATCCTGTTTAATATTATATATTAATACCTTAAGAGTGGTAATTTAGATTCCTAAAACACCAAAGATTTTTCAACGAGCGAACGTCTACCTTTCTTTGTAGTGTGTTCCGTACTGAATTGAAATCATCTAACTTACGATGAACTCGACTACTCAATATACTACATTCACAACACAACCAAGCTCTACAAACGGTACTCCCGACCAACAACGATTTCACTGGACCTACTACTACACTTTAACAGTTAATATAATTCGATACCTTAATACCACAAGAATCTATACTACCGAACTCCAGAACGACGATACTTCATCACCTGCATTATCATTTCTCTTTTACCAATCAGATTCCACTAGACCTTCAACAACAAAACAACCGAATAAAGTTTATGACACTCTAACACTTCGATGCCTGTATATCTGCGAAACCATATCAGCAACAGCTTTCCGCCGTTACTCCCAAATCTAAACGATTCATCAAAACTTACAAAACAAGTACAATACTTTGAACACCCCGTCATTACAAAACTCTATACACCAGGACAGATTTCTAATTTAAAGTCAGAGAAAACGAGACTTACAAGGCCTATTAAAATTAAATAACCGTTTGAACTGTTCGAAATTTAAATAACGAACTTATTTAATCGTTTTCTACATCAATTAGATGACACCTAATTAAAAAGGTAAATTAACTGGTAAAAAGCGCGCCGACCTGTGGATGTGGGGTTGCCTTTTCATTATCGCGAAAAAATATAGGCCTATATAGACCTACTTTTGGGGTGGGTGTGCAAAATTGATAGTTCGTGATGGGTTCTACCAAAAGATCGCTACTACTTTATAAAAGTTATTAATCATTTGGTACTTTTTTATAATGGCGATTAAATATTTTGAGCCCCCTTAGGGATGGCGCCCTAGGCGACCGCGTTGTTCGCTTTATAGGTAGCGCCGGCCCTGCTGGTAGGCCAAAAGCCTCGAGTTCGAATCCCTGGTCTTGAGCCCACCCAGCTGTGAGGGGTACCTGACTCACTGACTCCACCCAGCTGTGAGGGGTACCTGACTCACTGACTCCACCCAGCTGTGAGGGGTACCTGACTTACTGACTCCACCCAGCTGTGAGGGGTACCTGACTCACTGACTCCACCCAGCTGTGAGGGGTACCTGACTTACTGACTCCACCCAGCTGTGAGGGGTACCTGACTTACTGACTCCACCCAGCTGTGAGGGGTACCTGACTCACTGACTCCACCCAGCTGTGAGGGGTACCTGACTTACTGACTCCACCCAGCTGTGAGGGGTACCTGACTCACTGACTCCACCCAGCTGTGATGGGTACCTGACTCACTGACTCCACCCAGCTGTGAGGGGTACCTGACTTACTGACTCCACCCAGCTGTGATGGGTACCTGACTTACTGACTCCACCCAGCTGTGAGGGGTACCTGACTTACTGACTCCACCCAGCTGTGAGGGGTACCTGACTCACTGACTCCACCCAGCTGTGATGGGTACCTGACTCACTGACTCCACCCAGCTGTGAGGGGTACCTGACTCACTGACTCCACCCAGCTGTGAGGGGTACCTGACTTACTGACTCCACCCAGCTGTGAGGGGTACCTGACTCACTGACTCCACCCAGCTGTGATGGGTACCTGACTCACTGACTCCACCCAGCTGTGAGGGGTACCTGACTTACTGACTCCACCCAGCTGTGATGGGTACCTGACTTACTGACTCCACCCAGCTGTGAGGGGTACCTGACTTACTGACTCCACCCAGCTGTGAGGGGTACCTGACTCACTGACTCCACCCAGCTGTGATGGGTACCTGACTCACTGACTCCACCCAGCTGTGAGGGGTACCTGACTTACTGACTCCACCCAGCTGTGATGGGTACCTGACTCACTGACTCCACCCAGCTGTGATGGGTACCTGACTCTCTGACTCCACTCAGCTGTGATGGGTACCTGACTTACTGACTCCACCCAGCTGTGATGGGTACCTGACTTACTGACTCCACCCAGCTGTGATGGGTACCTGACTCACTGACTCCACCCAGCTGTGATGGGTACCTGACTCACTGACTCCACCCAGCTGTTATGGGTACCTGACTCCTGTTATTGCAACTAAGACGTCTGGGCATAGTGGTGATAGTATCCCCCTATATGCCGATCTCATTGAAATAGATGTGTAACAACAGTAATATCCATTGTTGATAGGATGATACGGTTGTTTTTGTGGGTTCGGTTGATACACTAACACAACAGTAGTTTGCAACATTAAACTTTATTTACAATATCCACAATGAAATGATAATGATCCATAGTAGAAGAAAAACTGTTATAGTACAATCAAGAAGCAAAGTAACGTGGTGACATCCTACTACACAGTCACAGGCTAGCACACTCGTTCACCTTGCGCTCCACCTTTTATACACAACTTTCTCCTTACGTCAATGAACGATCTCACAAAAAAGCATGTAAATACATGACGAGTCGCTCACACTTACTTCCGTTGGCCAGGTACTCTACATTCACGCAACTTCATGTCAGTTACAATATAGTTATTATACATAATAAGTCAGTCTCTGTTACAAGATGCTCTACTTCACCTACTCATGTGTCTTGGGCACGCACAGGAAATGTAACCGTCTTTGAATCTTATGTTAATGGGACGACGTGGTCGAATGGTAGAGCGTTTGGCATTAACCCGAAGGTCTCGAGTTCGGATCTCGATTTGGACTCGTGACTGCAAGACGTCCTTGATCGGTAGATTGACGTTAATGACAATAAAGGCGGTTGGACTTAGTGCTGACCACACTATCTCTTCATATGCCGAGGTTAAGAACCATACGAACTTTACTTTCTCTGCCCAATGGATAGCAAGGTCTATAGAGGTTGCTTTACATTAAAAAAAAATATGGTGTTATGTAACATTTGAAAAGATAACTTATTTTTGTGTTATGTAGCATGTGTATGATCTCTTATCATTGTTCTAGTGACATAAACACAATCTTTCATTCAACGATTTCATTACATGAGGGAAGGCGTGGTCTATCGGTAGAGCGCTTGACTGTTAACCTCGAAAGTCTGGAGTTCGAATCCTGGTTTAAGTCTGTATGAAGTCTCTGAGTCTACCCAGATCTGATGGGTACCTATAAATAAAGTAAAGGGCGCTGGGCATAGTGCTGACCAAACTATCCCTTCAAAACGCCAATGCCACAGAAACAGGATAACTCTACTTCACCTTCCCCATGAACCGTCAGGAACTTAACTCTTTTTTTTTTACTTCATTCCAGACCAGACACATCCGGGAACACAGCCACCACAAGAAGGACGACAAACTCAAGAAGTCCAAGTCTTTAGACACCGAGACAGACCTAATGGTGTCTGACCTAAAGAAACAGCTGGAATACCTTCAGATGGAGGTCATACGGCTGAGGAAAAACTTGGAGGAGACGTCAGACCGAAACGAAGAACTGCAGCAAGAGAACGATGGTAGGTGCTGAGGTTTACTAAAACCAGAATGTGATGAAGTTTTGAAAACACAGAAAATTGTAAATGTTAGTTAAAATTAAAACTTTATAAAAATATTATTTAAAACGGGTCAGGTTGTGTTTTTTGAAACTTGTTTATATTATAGTTTTAGAAACTTGTGAAATTGTGTTTTTAGAAACTTGTTTGGATTGTAGTTTTAGAAACTTGTCAAATTGTGTTTTTAGAAACCTATCAAATTGTAATTTTTAAAGACTTGTCAGAATGTGATTTGAGAAACTTGTCAAATTGTGGTTTTCAAAGACTTTTCAAATTGTGGTTTAAGCAACTGGTCAGATTATGGTTCAAAATACTTGTCGAATTGTGGTTTAAAAACTTGTCAGAATGTGTTTTTAGAAACTTGTTTAGATTGTAGTTTTAGGAACTTGTCAACTTGTGTTTTTAGAAACTTGTTTAGATTATGGTTTAAAAACTTGTCAGATTGTTGTTCTAGAAATTTATCAAATTGTGTTTTTAGATAATTATCAGATTGTGATTTCAGAAATGCATAATTTTGTGGTTTTAGAAACTCTTAAATATACATATAAGTATTTTTTATTTAATGTAAGCAAATGTACTCATATTCACATCCCCACCCACAGACCTGAAGAATCGAACCCCCGTGCCTTCAGTGCAAGCTGACGACGCTGCCCTGGAGAACATCGAGCTCCGGGACAAGATCCGCAGACTGGAGGAGGACGGACGGTGCCAGGCTGATACCGTCCGGCTCCTGACAGACAGTCTACAGAGGTTATCACGTGACACGAGGACCTACACGACCATCGCCACGTCACCCACTGTACCAGGTATGTCAGTTTTTTTTTTTAATACTTTTCTTGCTGACTACCAGATCAAACGATATGTTATTGGATGGTAGCGCGTCAACAACACTAGCTAACTCATGTTGGGAAAAGTAAATGTGGCTGGGCATAAAACTGACCACACTATCTCTTCACATACCGATGTCACTAAAACAAATGAGTTTGGAAAACGAAATGGATGGTGAAGTAGAGAGGGATGGTGTGTCTGGGGGGGGGGGGGGGGGTAAAAAGCTGGAGGAGGCCGAAAGATGAGGAAGGAATTGGGAACAGCTGTCAACCCCCTGTCTCAACCCCCTGTCTCAACCCCCTGTCTCAACGCCATGTTTTCCTATGTCGACCCTTGCGTCACTTGCCCTGGGCCTGGCGGGCTACATTGCCTGATCTCCCCTTGATCTGAATTTATTGGTTATGATACGATTCTGTGTCTGTTTGAAAATACAAATGTATCTCCTCTTGAACTGAAAGAATTGATTATGATACAATTCTAACTAAGTCTTTTTTTAAAATACAAGTAATTATCTTCCCTTTTCCCCAAAAATATTTGGTTATTCTTGCAGGTTAACTCCCTTTCTTCTAAAATAACTTCTGTTAAATCAAATGTATCTTCTCTCGCTTTGAACTATCCTGCATTTGTTAGCCTCTGTATAAAAATATATTCTGATTCCACCGCATTAAAATGTTACGATTTCCGTAAAATTCGCTTGTAGCGTTTAATGAGTTTGTTTTACCCAAACCAAACATGATGAAAAAAATCTTTTTTTTTAAATCTCGTCAGATTTTGTATAAAATAAGGCTTATTAGTTGTGTATTGACATTCCTTCACGAAATATGAGATTGAAATGTATTTATTTTTTGTATAAAATTGTTGAAGTTAGCTTAGCGAAGCAGTTTTGAAATATATGGGTTAAATATTTATTGAAGAATGCAGGTCAGGTTGACCTCGAGAAATTAGGGCAAGCATTTACTACAGGGTCCGGTGTAGGCATATACTCAGGGGATGGGGGTGGTTGGCTCGTAGGTTGTTGATGCTGGATTCCACCCCTACCCCCACCTTTCGTGTATCTAAAATGTACGGTCTTATATAAACTGTGGCATGGGTTCGAAAGGTTGAGCTAAAATCCTAGTCTAGCCATATCCATAGTCTCAACCTTTGCATAGGTCCTACCTAAATGTCCAACCCTGGTGCAACCTAACACAGCCAACCCTGATCCAACCTAACACGGCCAACCTTAGTCCAACCTAACACAGCCAACCTTGGCCCAACCTAACACGGCCAACCCTGGTGCAACCAAACACAGCCAACCCTGATCCAACCTAAAATGTTAAACCCTGGTCCAACCTAACAAGGCCAACCCTAGTCCAACCTAACACGGCCAACCCTGATCCAACCTAACAAGGCCAACCCTGGTCCAACCTAACACGGCTAACCTTAGTCCAACCTAACACGGCCAACCCTGGTCCAACCTAACTCGGCTAACCTTAGTCCAACCTAACACGGCCAACCTTAGTCCAACCTAACACGGCCAACCCTGGTCCAATCTAACACGGCCAACCCTGGTCCAACCTAACTAGGTCAACCCTTGTCCAACCTAACACGGCCAACCTTGGTCCAACCTAACACGGCTAACCTTACTCCAACCTAACTAGGCCAACCTTAGTCCAACCTAACACGGCCAACCTTAGTCCAACCTAACACGGCCAACCTTAGTCCAACCTAACACGGCCAACCTTATTCCAACCTAACACGGCCAACCCAGGTCCAAACTAACACGGCCAACCCTGGTCCAACCTAACACAGCCAACCCTGGTCCAACCTAACACGGCCAACCCTGTTCCAACCTAACAAGGCCAACCCTGGTCCACCTAACACGGCCAACCCTGGTCCAACCTAACACGGCCAACCCTGTTCCAACCTAACAAGGCCAACCTTGGTCCAACCTAACACGGCCAACCTTAGTCCAACCTAACACGGCCAACCCTGGTCCAACCTAGTACAGCCAACCTTAGTCCAACCTAACACGGCCAACCCTGGTCCAACCTAACACGGCCAACCCTGATCCAACCTAACTAGGCCAACCCAGGTCCAACCTAACACGGCCAACCTTAGTCCAACCTAACACAGCCAACCTTAGTCCAACCTAACACGGCCAACCTTAGTCCAACCTAACACGGCCAACCCTGGTCCAACAAGGCCAACCCTGGTCCAACCTAACACGGCCAACCTTAGTCCAACCTAACACGGCCAACCTTAGTCCAACCTAACACGGCCAACCCTGGTCCAACAAGGCCAACCCTGGTCCAACCTAACACGGCCAACCTTAGTCCAACCTAACACGGCCAACCTTAGTCCAACCTAACACGGCCAACCTTAGTCCAACCTAACACGGCCAACCTTAGTCCAACCTAACACGGCCAACCTTAGTCCAACCTAACACGGCCAACCTTAGTCCAACCTAACACGGCCAACCTTAGTCCAACCTAACACGGCCAACCCTGGTCCAACAAGGCCAACCCTGGTCCAACCTAACACGGCCAACCTTAGTCCAACCTAACACGGCCAACCTTAGTCCAACCTAACACGGCCAACCCTGGTCCAACAAGGCCAACCCTGGTCCAACCTAACACGGCCAACCCTGGTCCAACCTAACACGGCCAACCTTAGTCCAACCTAACACGGCCAACCCTGGTCCAACCTAACACGGCCAACCCTGGTCCAACAAGGCCAACCCTGATCCAACCTAACACGGCCAACCTTAGTCCAACCTAACACGGCCAACCTTAGTCCAACCTAACTCGGCTAACCTTAGTCCAACCTAACACGGCCAACCTTAGTCCAACCTAACACGGCCAACCTTGGTCCAACCTAACACGGCCAACCCTAGTCCAACCTAACACGGCCAACCCTGGTCCAACCTAACACGGCCAACCCTGGTCCAACAAGGCCAACCCTGGTCCAACCTAACACGGCCAACCCTGGTCCAACAAGGCCAACCCTGGTCCAACCTAACACGGCCAACCTTGGTCCAACCTAACACGGCCAACCCTGGTCCAACAAGGCCAACCCTGGTCCAACCTAACACGGCTAACCTTAGTCCAACCTAACACGGCCAACCTTAGTCCAACCTAACTCGGCTAACCTTAGTCCAACCTAACACGGCCAACCTTAGTCCAACCTAACACGGCCAACCTTGGTCCAACCTAACACGGCCAACCCTGGTCCAACCTAACACGGCCAACCTTAGTCCAACCTAACACGGCCAACCTTAGTCCAACCTAACTCGGCTAACCTTAGTCCAACCTAACACGGCCAACCCTGGTCCAACCTAACACGGCCAACCCTGGTCCAACAAGGCCAACCCTGGTCCAACCTAACACGGCCAACCTTAGTCCAACCTAACACGGCCAACCTTAGTCCAACCTAACTCGGCTAACCTTAGTCCAACCTAACACGGCCAACCTTAGTCCAACCTAACACGGCCAACCTTGGTCCAACCTAACACGGCCAACCCTAGTCCAACCTAACACGGCCAACCCTGGTCCAACCTAACACGGCCAACCCTGGTCCAACAAGGCCAACCCTGGTCCAACCTAACACGGCCAACCTTAGTCCAACCTAACACGGCCAACCCTAGTCCAACCTAACACGGCCAACCCTGGTCCAACAAGGCCAACCCTGGTCCAACCTAACACGGCCAACCTTGGTCCAACCTAACACGGCCAACCCTGGTCCAACAAGGCCAACCCTGGTCCAACCTAACACGGCCAACCTTAGTCCAACCTAACTCGGTTAACCTTAGTCCAACCTAACACGGCCAACCTTAGTCCAACCTAACACGGCCAACCCTGGTCCAACAAGGCCAACCCTGGTCCAACCTAACACGGCCAACCTTAGTCCAACCTAACACGGCTAACCTTAGTCCAACCTAACACAGCCAACCCAGGTCCAATCTAACACAGCCAACCCTAGTCCAACCTAACACAGCCAACCTTAGTCCAACCTAACACGGCCAACCTTAGTCCAACCTAACACGGCCAACCCTGGTCCAACAAGGCCAACCCTGGTCCAACCTAACACGGCCAACCTTAGTCCAACCTAACACGGCTAACCTTAGTCCAACCTAACACAGCCAACCCAGGTCCAATCTAACACAGCCAACCCTAGTCCAACCTAACACAGCCAACCTTAGTCCAACCTAACACGGCCAACCCTGGTCCAACCTAACACAGCCAACCTTAGTCCAACCTAACACGGCCAACCCTGGTCCAACCTAACACAGCCAACCCTAGTCCAACCTAACACAGCCAACCCTAGTCCAACCTAACACGGCCAACCTTAGTCCAACCTAACACAGCCAACCTTATTCCAACCTAACACGGCCAACCTTAGTCCAACCTAACACGGCCAACCTTGGTCCAACCTAACACGGCCAACCTTAGTCCAACCTAACACGGCCAACCTTGGTCCAACCTAACACGGCCAACCCAGGTCCAACCTAACACGGCCAACCCTAGTCCAACCTAACACGGCCAACCTTGGTCCAACCTAACACGGCCAACCCAGGTCCAACCTAACACGGCCAACCCTAGTCCAACCTAACACGGCCAACCTTAGTCCAACCTAACACGGCCAACCCTGGTCCCTAGTCCAACCTAAAATGGCCAAACCTGGTCTAACCCTTTAACTAAGAGTAAGCTTAACCTAAAATTTAACCCTTTTCACGGCGGTTGGTGTGGTCGGGTTGGTAAAGTTCATGGTTGCTAAACCAAACAGTCCTGAGTTCCAACCCCCAAGCAGATGAAACAGCAATCCATATCGGATTGAAAACTACAAAACAATCAATAACTCCAGGAAATATGAAACAGTTGTTAAAAACGAACTCGCGTTTTTTCTCGCAATTCCGTGTTTCCATCTCAATTAGAAGACATTACATCAACAGCAACCCAATCACGCTAAACAGGTGTATGATGTACGGTGAAAAAAAAAT